GGATGCTGTCAGCCACTGCTATGGTGAGTGTGACAGTGGCCGAGAGAGGGGGCTGGCCGTGGTCCTGCACAGACACCACCAGGCTCTGCTTCAGGGCATCTCTGTCCAGCAGGGCCCGGGCAGTGCGAACCTCGCCTGTGTGCAGCCCCACTGAGAAGAGCCCTGGCTCGCTGGCCTTGATCAGACGGTAGGACAGCCAGGCGTTCTGTCCTGAGTCTTTGTCCACTGCCACCACTTTTGTGACCAGGTATCCAGGATCAGCAGAGCGAGGTGCCAATTCAACACCAATGGAACCATCTGTAGGGAGGGCAGGATAAAGGATCTCAGGCATGTTGTCATTCTGGTCCAGCACAAATAGGCTCAGTGTCACGTTGCTACTGAGTGGAGGGTTCCCACTGTCACTGGCTGTCACCAGCAACTGCAGGTCTCTAAACTGCTCATAATCAAAGGAGCAAAGAGCATACAGGACACCAGTATTGGAGTTGACAGAGATGTAGGTTGAAAGTGGCACCCCCTGAAGTGTGTTCTCAGCCAATGAATAAGTAATTTCTGCATTCTTGTCAGTGTCTGGGTCCCGTGCCGTAACGGAGAAGATGGAGGCTCCCCTAGGATTATTTTCTGGAATATAGGCTGAGTAGGAGGCACGGGTGAAGGTAGGAGGGTTGTCGTTGATGTCCGACACAAGCAGAGTGATACGAGTTTCCGTGGACAACGGTGGTTTCCCCCCATCGGTGGCTCGTAGACTGATATTATATTGAGACACCCGTTCACGGTCCAGAGATTCGGCTGTCACTAAGCGGTAGTATTGGTCTATTGATTTTTCTAGAGTAAAGGGCAGATTGCCTAGGACAAAAACTGTGACTTGTCCATTCAGGCCAGAATCTCGGTCATGTACGTTGATGAGAGCAATTTCTCTTCCAGCAGGGGCTTCTTCTGGGACTGAGCCTGTGAGAGAAGTGACTGACACTTCTGGCGCGTTGTCATTCACATCCAGAACCGTGAGGAGAACCTTGGCTCTTGAAAAAAGACCCGGCCCATCTTGTGCTTCAATTTTGATTTCATAGAACACAGCATCCTCATAATCGAGACTTTTTAATATCGATATATCTCCAGTCACCGAATCGAGATGGAAAACCTGAGCAATTTTTCCAGGCATTTTATCCAAAATATAGGAGACTTGGGCATTGAATCCCTCATCGGGATCAGTGGCGTTCACTGTGATCAGCCGGGTGCCCACTGGCACATTTTCCAGAACACTGACATGGTACTCTGGCTTAGTAAACACGGGCGGGTTGTCATTTGCATCCACGACTATCACCTTGATGCACAGCTTGCCGGTGTGAACAGGGTCTCCACCATCAGAGGCAATGAGATCAAGCTGATGAACTGCCTTTTTCTCGCGATCCAAGGCTCGCTCCAGCACTAGTTCTGGGTACTTGACGCCATCGGTGACACTGTTCACAGCTAAGAAGAAGTAGTCACTGGGGTTGAGCTTATAGTTCTGCAGGGAGTTCATGCCCACATCTGGGTCAAATGCAGTTTTAAGTGGAAATCGAGTTCCGGGATCTGTTAATTCACCAATTTTTATTTCCAATTCGTCTGTTGGAAAACTAGGCGCATTATCATTAATATCGCTGATATCGACTTCTACCTCAAATATTTTCAGCTTATCCTCTACAAGGATGTTAAAGCTGACGAGACAGGGCGCGCTCTGGGCGCACAGCTCCTCCCGGTCTATCCTGCCCGCGGTGACCAAGCTGCCGCTTCGCGGGCTCAGAGAGAAAAGCTGCGACCTACCTCTGGAGACAATGCGGACTCCGCGCTCCGCCAGCTCGCGAGGCTCCAGTCCCAGGTCCTTGGAGATGTTGCCCACGAAGGAGCCTTTGTCCAGCTCCTCCGGCACCGAGTAGCGGATTTGCCTGAAGCCAGTCGCACCCGGCTGCCCCAGGAGCGCGCACAGCAAAGCCAGGGCTCCAGCGGTTCCTAGTCCCAGGCAGATCATTTCCTTTCTTGCTTTTTTCCCTCTGAATTCCCACGATGGGTCCTAGCCTTACACCCTCATGGAACTAAATCTTTCATGGGCTTAATTCACACACCACAGAGCTGGCTGATGCTGTGGTGTGAGCTTGATAGATGCTTCTGTCTTTTCAGACTGTTCTTGGCGTTTCTCTGCAGCAGGGAAATGGTGGACTGTGCGTCAGCGGCGCCTTTTCTTCTTGCATGGTCAACAGCGACACCCAGAGGCCTAATCAGTCACTGCACACTTCTAGGTAAATCCAAATAACCCTTTGCTCCTAGCTTCAGTCCTTTCCATTGGAGGCAAGGGAACGAGCACTGATTTCACATAACTGAAGTGATATTTGTTAAATTGTGTGGCTTCAAGTTATTTTTATTTGATATGCAGCACCTTAACTCCACTTATACTGCTTCAACATCAGCCATATTTATGGATTATAATTCTTGAAGTTGGTCTTTGATATCCTGACATATTAGTTTTAATACTTTTCACTTAACTGATTCGTTAAAAGGACACACGGTTGGATGTCAGACAATATGCTTTTAAAAAAAAGATTTAATGTGGAATATGTAGATCACCAGTTCTGTCACAGAGTTTATGCTGATGAAAAATCACTTGGGGCTTACCGTGCGCTGAAATAACTAGCACAGGGAGAGTGGCCGAGGAGGACGGGAAGGTCTCCAATCTGGCTGTGGGGTTTAGCGAAGGCCTTATTGAGAAGTGTGAGAAGAGCGGACCAGGGGAAAGGCGTGGGTGTGAGAGAAATCACAGACCTCGGGCTACTGGAGACATTCACCTTGCCCAGGTGCAGAGGTGTATGAGGACATCTTTTTAAAAACTACAGGTGACGCTGGTAAAGATAAGCTTGTGTTACCTCCAGAACCCCCTGTCCTGTATATTTTCTTCTTGTAGCACAGAGATAGAAACAAAGATAGGCGTGGCGGTACATGCTTTTAAGGGAGAGAGCATTAGAGAGGCAAGGGAGGGTGGATCACTGTGAGTTTGAGGCCAGTCTGGTCTACATAGAGAGCTACAGGCCAGTCAGGGTTACACAGTAAGGTCTTGTCTCAAAATAAAACAAAACAAGTAGAAATAAAACAAAAAATGTCATTTCAATCATGATGCATTGTAGATGTATCCATAAGGTGTTTATTCTTAGGGGTTACTGCCTCAAAAGGAACTCTGTTTTTAATTTTCTTCTGTTTATACTTCATTATATGCTTACATGTAAAGATATTGTGACACTCTGTTCCAAAGTGAATTCTGAGTTTATCTCATAGATACTTATGCAGTACTAACAAACACATGGAATACATTTGCCCCAAATGTTCTAGCAGACACTCTTGGATGTAATAAGGACTCCAAGCACCATAGGAGATGTAAATCTACCTCATACAAGTTTCAATTAGTGCATGGTTAATTTCCTGATGAAAACAAGCTGATTCTTAGCATTGGCACACCCACTGTTAATAAGTGTATGATCAACACACTAAAACCAACACAGGAGGAATAGAGAAGGAAAACCAAGTGTTTATAAACGGAAGGTTTTTGGCATCTGATGCAAAGGAAACTTGGGGAAAACAGCAATTGTATGATATGGTCTCTGAATCCCTTCTATCGTCTCTGTGTACACCAAGCATAAGAGTTATTTTTCAGGATAGCAAGTCAGTATGATTTCCAGATCTGAGAAAAATGAAGTTTCAGTGAAGAAAAACCTGCTACTGCTACTTTACCAGCTTGCTATTGGGTGCACAGTAAGCTCCCAAGGAGCACGGAGCTACCTCCAGAGACTGCTGTTTGCAGCTAAGCAGAGACACCATGGCATGAAACTCTGTAGGGAACATATATCCTAGGGATGGAGGCATGACTCAGTGGCAAAGCACAAGCAAAATGAGGTTTCGGTTTCAATATACACCACTTATGCACAAACATATATGGGTTTGAGATGTAGCTCACGGTGAGAGTGCCCGCCTATGGTATACAAGGCCATGGGTTTGATTCCTAACACTGAAAAAATGCATTTTTCTTGTCTTGTCTTTGAGACAGGGTCTCATTTTGTAGTCTTCGCTCTGTTGGAGCTTGTTATGTAGATGAGGGTTGCTTAGAACTCACAGAGATCTGTTTGTCTCTGCCTCCCCAGTACAAGTGGTTAAAGGTGTGTGCCACCATGCCCAGATAAAATTCCTTCATTTAAACAGATATGGGTACGCAAACTAAGGAAAATAGGTAACTTCTCTGAAAATCCGAAGAAGAAATATTAAGATCAAGTGTGAGAATCACTGGGCAGTTGCGGCGCACACCTTTAATCTCAGCACTCGGGAGGCAAAGGCAGGCGAATCTCTGTGAGTTCGAGGCCAGCCTGGTCTACTAGAGCTAGTTTCAGGAGGGCTCCAAAGCTACACAGAGAAACCCTGCCTCAAAAAAAACCCAAAATAAACAAAAAAGAGAAAGAATCGTCAACCAAGGTGTTTCATAATTCATACACAGATTCAACTATAAAGCAAGCCTTACATTCAAAGGAGGAAGAGTCTTCAATTAATAGAAATCCAAAGTATGCATTGCACACACACACACACACACACACACACACACACATTATATAATGCATACATTGCAGTGCTGGGAACCCATCTCAAGGCCCAGTGCATGCAGGGCAGGTAAAGTACCACTGATCACCAGCCCCAACCTTTCCCATGGATGGGAAAGTTAAGAAACCAGTGCATTGCTAACAGTACTCTTTTGATGATTTAAATGTCACCATCAGCTATTAATCCATGATTTCCATTCATTCCACAATGATTTTAACTTCCCGTGCCCACGCGCACTCAAAGCTACCTGGTAATAGTTCACCTGGATTCACTTAAGCTTCAGTACATCTTCAAGGAAAAGCGGGACTAAAACACACATATATTAAATACCCGGGGCAACTAAATAAATAGGTAAATTTAGCAAAACAACATGAGCGTATTTAAGAAAAAGTTACCTGAGGGGTTTCTTCTCTTTTATCATCGAGTAGAGACTGGGGTGCTGAGAGGAAGTCAGTTTTCCCACAGCTCTCCTGGCTGATGAGAGTGTCTGCATAGTTTGGCTGAGGGAAGATGATATGGCTTTTCCCCGAGTCTGCCGTGAGTGAGACTTCATGGGAATAGGTCTGCAGGAAAGCACGCACCCCGTCCACTCCCACAAACTGTGAGGCAGGGATGCCCCCTAACCCATCTCTTGAAGCCTGGAGCATGCGAGACACATGCCAGCGCCGCAGCCTCAGTGCTAGCAGCGCGATGACGAAGGCCAAGAAGACACAGGAGACCACAGCCACTGCCACCACCAGGGAGAGGGTAAGTTCTGAATCATCAGAGGTGGCAGGGGTCCTGATGCTGCCCAGGTCAGCCAGGACCTCAGGGATGCTGTCAGCCACTGCTATGGTGAGTGTGACAGTGGCCGAGAGAGGAGGCTGGCCGTGGTCCTGCACAGACACCACCAGGCTCTGCTTCAGGGCATCTCTGTCCAGCAGGGCCCGGGCAGTGCGCACCTCGCCCGTGTGCAGCCCCACTGAGAAGAGCCCTGGCTCGCTGGCCTTGAGCAGGCGGTAGGACAGCCAGGCATTCTGTCCCGAGTCTTTGTCCACTGCCACCACCTTAGTCACCAGGTATCCAGGTTCTGCAGAGCGAGGTGCCAATTCAACACCAGTGGACCCGTCTGTGGGGAGGGCAGGGTAAAGGATCTCAGGCATGTTGTCATTCTGGTCCACCAAGAACAGGCTCAACGACACATTGCTGCTCAGTGGAGGGTTTCCACTGTCCACCGCTATCACCCACAGCTGCAAGTCTTGGAACTGCTCATAGTCAAAGGAGCGGAGAGCATAGAGGACTCCAGTGTCAGAGTTGATGGAGACGTACGAGGACAGGGGCGCCCCTTGAAAGGTATCTTCAGCTAAAGAGTAGGTTACGTGGGCATTGTCATTGCTGTCAGGGTCATAGGCCAGCACTGAAAAGATGGAGGTGCCCCTGGGATTGTTTTCAGCAATGTAGGCAGAGTAGGCCCCCCGGGAAAAGGAGGGTGGGTTGTCGTTGATATCCGCCACCTGCAGTAAAAGGTGGGCATCTGTGGACAGAGATGGGTTCCCTCCATCCTTGGCACTTAGAGTGATGTTGTAAAAGGAGAACTGCTCCCTGTCAAGAGCTCTGGTTGTAACCAGTCGGTAGTAATTGTCCACTGACCGTTCCAACTTGAAAGGAAGCGTCTCAGGAAGTGAACACGTGACAACGGCATTCTGCCCAGAGTCCCTATCATGCACATTGAAAAGTGCAATTACGGTTCCGGGAGGAGAGTCTTCAGGAACAGAAGCAGTGGCGGACGTCATGTAAAATTCCGGGGCATTGTCGTTGACATCTAGAACGGTGACAATGACCTTCGTCCTGGTCAGAAGGCCTGGGCCATCCTGAGCTTCAATATCGATTTCATGGAATTTAGCTTTCTCATAATCCAGACTTTTGGTGATTGTTATATCTCCAGACGTTGACTTTAGCTCAAATACATCTGCAGTTTCTCCAGGGGCTTGCTCCTGAAAATAAGTCACTTGAGCATTGTATCCCTCATCCGGGTCAGTGGCTGTCACTGTGAGTATCCGGGTGCCTATAGGCATATTCTCAGGAACGCTCACACGGTACTCGGGCTGTGTAAAAGCAGGAGCGTTATCGTTCGCGTCCAGGACCTTCACGCGGATGCGGCAGGTGCCGGATCTCACTGGATTTCCCCCGTCGAAGGCTACAAGAACAAGATGGTGAACTGCCTCTTCCTCGCGGTCCAAGGCACGCTCCAGCACCAGCTCTGGGTATTTGTTCCCATCGGCCCCAGTTCGCACATCCAGAGAGAAGTGGTCATTTGAGTTGAGTTCATACTTCTGGAGGGTGTTCTCACCCACGTCCGCATCATGCGCACTCTTAAGAGGGATCCTGAATCCTGGTGTAGTCGTTTCGCTGATTTTTAGTTCCGGCTCCTCTACTCCAAAGCGAGGAGCATTGTCATTAACATCTGTTACCTCCACCTCTACGGAATAAATAGTCAGTTTATCTTCCAGTAGTAGGTTAAAGTTCATCAGACAGGGTGTGTTCTGGGCGCACAGCTCTTCCCGGTCTATCCTGCCTGCGGTGACCAAGCTGCCGCTTCTCGGGTTCAGAGCAAAGAGCTGCGACCCACCTCTGGAGACGATGCGGACCCCTCGTTCTGCCAGAGCTTGAGGCTCCAGCCCCAGGTCCTTGGCGATGCTGCCCACGAAGGAGCCTTTGTCTAGCTCCTCGGGCACAGAGTAGCGGACCTGTCCAGCTCTGGCCTCCCACAGGGAGGCCCAAAGGGCGCACAGCATGATCAGCATTCTGTACCGGGGCAGCTTCTGCAGCGTCGCCATTTCCCTTCTGCAGCCGAGTTTCCTCCGAACCTGCTTCCAGCACGGTGAGTCCAGTCCTTACTCCCCCAGGGTCTGAGACGACCAGTATTCACCGGTTCCAGGTCACCGAGGAGAGAGAACTAACGGACGCTGCTTTCAATTTCCTTGCATCTTCTCTGGCCGGAAGCTGCTGACAAACCGCCAGTCCTTTGTGTTGTGCCAGCCCTTCAGTGGGATTGGTTGACTGTCTTTTACTCCTTAGGTGGTCAACAGCGACGCTCAGAGGCCTAGCCAGTTTCTGCACTCGCGCAGGCAAACCCATTTCATGTTTTCCTGTGACTTAACTCTCAAGAATGACTCTTTACACTAAGATGCCGTATTATTTACAGTAGAAGTAAGCATTTAAAGGTAGGGACTTCTTTTCAGAACTCGTAAGAATAGTGTAAATATACGTAACCTGAGATGGTTGCTAGGAAAGTATTGCGGAACGTTTAAGGCTTAAGCCAAGGGCTGTTGGCCTTGATGCCTCACACTGTCTCCCGAACCTTTTCTTATCTATGCTCAGACAAAAAGGTCAACATTGGCTACATTTTCTTATACGGTAAGTGTTCTGAATTTGAATTTTTGTGCTCTGTTGCTTAGCATTTAATGCCAACACTTGATATGTAAATTGTTGATCATCAGGCACTAAACAGCACATGTGCCTGACACAAGGTTTGATTGACTCTTAGTTGGAGACCAGTTCTCAGAAACTTTTAGGGTGGGGAAGATGAGGAAAGTAAAGAGGATCTTATTAAAGAGTATCGATGCCAGATTTGGTGAAAAGCACTGACCCTTGGGGACATGCAGAGGAAGGGGACCCAACTTATGTTTGAGAGTCAAAATCGACCTTTCCTGAATGCTACTTCATTTGAATCCCGACAGGTAGGTAGAATGGATCAAGAACAAGGCTGGGGTAGCAAAGAAACTCAGAGCCAATGCTCGGAGCTGGATACAGCCAGGAACATCATGGATGAGGAAGGTTTCCATGTTGAACAAAGCTCAGGCAGACAGGGTACTTTACACTAAGAATCTGTCACTCAAAGTTGTTTGAGACTGTTAAGTCCTCTTTTCCTTTCTGTGTTTAGTCTTGCCCGGATGATGCCATGGATGTCTTCTTACTCCTGTTTACCTTACAGATACAAACATATTTATGCACAATGCATTTATTTAAAATTACACTTTGAAATATTTCAAGCTTATAGACCACTACAGAAAGTAATATAACCAAACTCTGTGCACATAACAGTAGGCTTTATTTAATTTTAATATCTTATCATATTTAAATAAGATGGATGTTTAGACTTTTTATTTTGAACAATTTTCAGAATTACAGAAGAGTTGCAAAAACAGTATAAATAAATCTCATATAGAGCGGTTCCTTGGTAGCTGAGGGGTCTTGGTTCTGTATCTGATGGTGCTGGAGTCCCTTGTGTAAATGATGCAGAAGGAAATGATCTGTGTACACTCTTCTGGGTAGTTGGTCATCTCACAATTATACATGCTAAGATAACGTTAATAGTTGATGAACATGTTTAAGAACTATGTTAAGTTTTCCAAATACTTTCAACTTGTGATGTAGATGTAGGTTCATGCAGTTGGATTTATTCACTTTACATATGAAGTTCACTGTATTCTGTGCCCCACATTACCCCGAATGTTAACACTTTATTTTCATGCCCCCATGGATTCCATGTAAGTTGCAGACATAATGTCCCTTTACTTTTTCTGAATTGCTTCAGTACCAAACTATAAAATCAACTTGGCATTGATGCAGTTTCATTATTTAGCCTATGGCTCTTAGCAATAATTTGTCAGGTGCTACAATGTCTTTTTATAGCAAAATAAAATATTTTTCAGGCCTAGGATCCATATCACAAAGTTTCTTCAGTGGGTAGAATTCGAACACGTCACCAGGCTTTGACATGGGAAGATGTGGTCAGTCAACTATAAAACGTTCTCCCTTGTTGGGGGTGTTAGATTCCTTCTCCTTAGGTTCAGATGGTGCAGTTCTGGCAGGAAGATGTAGGAATGATGTTATCTTCTTAGTGCATTTTCATGGGAGCCACATGGTGCCTTTGTCCCAGTACTGTTTTTGATAACTTCAATCACTGGTAACATTCTAGAAATTTTCTAGTTATTTGTACTTTTCTCTGTTGTAAACTTACTATTTATTAATTGATAATTAACTTGTCTAGTCCCCTCCTCCTTTTTTGCTTTCCTTCCATCTGTTACTCTTTCTCTCTTGATTTGTGGTTTCTTATGGCTTCTTCGTAGTATGTTTTTTGAAATTGATGAATGTGAGACTTCCAACTTTCTTTTCAAGATTGTTTTTGTCTGTTTGGAGGTATCCCTTGAGATTCCACATAAATTTTAGGGTGGAATTTTTCATTTCTGCCCCCCAAACCCCATTATTAGAGTTTTGATATGGATTTCAGTGAGTAAGTAGGTTGTTATAATTAATTCTGTACACTTCTATTTATTTTATTTTTACATTTTTAACTGTTGTTATACGTGTAGGGAGAAAGCCCGTGGAGGCCAAAAGACAGCATCAGAGCCACTGAAACTGGGGCCACAGGCAATTGAGAACCTCTTGAGCCTTTCTCTTTGTTTGATCTTTGCTTTCTTTGGGAATTATACTAAAATCAGGTATTATCTTCAAAATTGTGTTTTTAGGTGATGGGAGTTAATAATTATCTACCCATTTGACAACGCTTTCTTTTTTATAATCATGACCAAGTCATTTCCTAAATGAATTTCTCAAACACTACAACTAGTGCTTGTTGCTGTAACCACGACTTTGTTTTTTGTACTAATGGTCTACAACAACTGCTTTCTTTTGTGCATGTGTGCACATGAATCTTTAACTTCAACATTTCAGTATAAATTTAAGAACCTATCTTGTCAGTAGAATATGGATTTTTTGAGACAGGGTTTCTTCGTAGCTTTTTTGGTTCCTGTCCTGGAAGTAGCTCTTGTAGACCAGGCTGGCCTTGAACTCAGAGATCCGCCTGCCTCTGCCTCCCGAGTGCTGGGATTAAAGGCGTGCGCCACCACCACCCGGCTTAGAATATGGATTTTAAAAACCAACCAATTCATTAATTTGTCTTTAAATGTTAAGAGCTAAGCAAATGCAGGGATGAAATAATTTATTATTTGAGGGTGTAATTTTGTACTCAAAAAGAAAATAAAAATCCAGAAGACATGCAGCAAGAATGAATTCCCCTTGAAAGCCACCAGAGAAGAAACAGATTACTTAAAAAAATGACAACGTGATGACAGAAAATTTCTCATTTGTAATAACCATAAGTTATAGGAAGACAACATATTTTGAAATTTAGGCTTATACATTTATTTTAAGTAGAAGAATTTCTTTAAAAAGTGTTCTCACCTACTCTACTTCCTTATTGTTTTTCTATCCTGAGCCCCCCCCCCACCTTGAAACAAGGTTTCATGTAGCCCAGAATAGCTTCAAACTGGATATGTAGCTAAGAATGCCCCCTCTTGCCTCAGTTTCTTAAGTACTGGGATTATAAGCATGTGCCACCGTGCCTATCTTCTATTGGTTCTGAAACTTATCAGTCATATATAGTGGTGGTTCACATCTGCAGTCCCAGTCCTCAGAAAAAGACAAGAAAATCACAAGTTAGAGGTCAGCCTGAGCTACACAGCGAGTTTCAGCCCAACTGATGAGTATAGTGAGAGCCAACTGAAAAACACTGCTCAGGTTCCGGGCAATAACTAGGCCTCTAAAAGTGCTTCAAGGCTGCGTGGTGGTGCCAACCTGAACAGCACAGCTCCATGAGCAGACGCACTGTTCACTGCATCTGTGTTCCTCTCCCTTGGTCTTCAGCTTGCAACAAGAAACAAGCACAGGGATCGGCAGGGAAGATTTCACACACCTGATGGTTTTCATTGCTTATATTGGTTTCAATCAATAATCCAACCCTAGGCCACTTGTCAAGAATGAAGTAGTTTTGTTTATTTTACACTGCTGGCCTGCCACCCCTGTTTAAATAGCTTTAGATCAATTCATGATTTCTTGATTTATCTCTTGTCCATCTAGATATTTTATTTCACTATTCTAATGCTTTACTATTTTATGTACCTGTTCAATTTGACAGAACAGAGTAGATGTAACAAGACATGAATTTACCATGCCATAAATACACTTCCTTTTTTTTGAGACAGGGCCTTACTATGTAACCCTTGTTGGCCTGTAATGCATTATGTATACCAGGCTAGCCTTGAACTAACAGAGAACTGTCTGCCTCTGTCTTTTGAGTGCTGAGATTAAAGACGTGTGCCACCGCACCAGATCTTCACAATACACTTCTTATGAAGCATCAATATAGACAAATATGGAATATGTCTCAGTTTTGTCATTTTCACCACACACACACACACACACACACGCACACACACACACGTGAGGGAAGCTTTAAAACTGTTTTATAAGTTTTATAAGTGTGTGACAAAATTTCTGTCCATTTCATAAGTTATTTAAAGAGATAAATTTTTAAGCACACATAAAATCTCTCAGTGAGAGGTTGTAGACTAAGATGTTTAGCAACAACATCAGACTGTATGGATTATTATCATTTTATATTAGCACAAATAAAATTAAGACTTTTGATGATTCTCACCACTATCACTTCTGAATAAGTGGATAGTCAACTCAGACAACAAAATGATTTAGCCAGATTTAAGTGATAAATAGAAGACAAATCTGTTTCTAATGCAGTTCTCTTTCCCAAACGCGACAGGCCTCACCACTCGGAACATCCCTGGAATGCCTATAGAAATCTAAAAGGGCAGGTCACCTGCGTTGTTGCTATATGCCTGAGATATCAGCATTCTAGTAGTAAGAGGCAGGAGGATTATAATTTAAAACCATGCTGGGCTACAAAGTAAGTTCAAATAAAACATTAAATTGAAAGTAAAAAAAAAAAAAACAAAATGAGTTCCAGGCCAGCCCAGGTATCTTATCAAGAACTTGTCAAAAGAGCAGCACTCACCTAGCATGCAGAAGCCCTTAGGTTTAATTTCCAGTGGCATGAAACAAAAATAAACACACCCAACCACTACTGGGTGTAATGGAACATACCATTTATAGAAAACAGGGAAAGCAAATATATACAGACATGAAATAGTTTCATTGATATAGCTATTAAGGTCATTACAAGTTTACCTGAGAAAGTATTTCCTCTTTATCTTCAAGCAGAGACTGGGGTGCCGACAGAAATTCCCCTTTCCCACAGCTCTCTTGGCTGATAAGCGTGTCTGCA